GACAAAGAGAAAACAGCAGGAAGTCGGAGAAGGGAAGTTGGAGGAAAAAGAAAAAGAGAAAGAGAATGGAGAGACCATTCTCCAAAACAGAAAGGACGAATACCAACCCTGAGGTCCAATGTATAGTTGAATTTAAGGGGAAAAAGTACAGAAGAGCATGCCTGTAACCCTAGCACTCTGGGAGGCCAAGACCAGTGGATCACTTGAGCTCAGGAGTTCAAGACCAGCCTGAGCAAGAGTGAGACCCATCTCTGCTAAAAACAGGGGAAAAAAAAAAAAACTAGCCAGGCACTGTGGGGGCACCTGTAGACCTAGGTATTTGAGAGGCTGAGGCAAGGAGATCCCCTGAGCCCAAGAATTTGAGGTTGCTGTGAGCTATGACACCACACACCCTACCCAAGGTATTGTGAATGTGAATCCTGGGTCCATTTTTCCTCAGGCAAGGTTGAAGACAGACATTTCTCCAGGTGTTTCTGATCCTTATGCCTGACTGTTCAGCCAACTGGTACACTTAGGAATCACTTGAAGCTTAAAGGAACAATTCTCTGGCCTCAGCCTCCCAAGTAGCTGGGACTACAGGTGTCCACAACTCCTGGCTATTTTTAGTTGTGGGTGCTCACTCTTGCTCAACCTGGTCTCAAAACTGTGAACTCAGGCAATCCACCTGCCTCAGCCTCCCAGAGTGCTAGCATTACAGTTGTGAGCCACCACACTGGCCTGAGTTAGTAATTTTTCTATTTCACCATAAAGACCAACCATCCTTACAGAAAAGACTGATATTTCCACAATAAATTTATTAGTGGACCGAGAGGGTCGAGCCACCCATTGCTCCCAGCCAAATGCAGAGACAGGGATTAGGTCTAACAAGTGTTATCATCAGAAGCCCAGCAATTCTGGAGAACAGTTAGAGTAGGCTGTCCAAGACTGTTCTCCCCTTCCATTTCCAAAACCAGCGAAAAAAACACATCAAACCCTTATCTTGAACAATAATAATAAGCATGACACATGATGCAAAACAACATTTTATATATATATATATA